TTCTCCATGTTTTGAGAATAAGAATGATTCAATGTTGAGAGGGCAAGTGAAAGAACAGGCTTAAATTAGACCTTTTGAAAGAGAAGAATTAGCCTCATTGTTCTTATTAAAAATATAAAGCAATCTCGTATGCCACTCATACAGAAATCTCTCAAAACTGGTAGCTCTTAACACCTAGAAAATTATTGGTTTAGAGGTTAGACTGTTCAAGCAAGACTGGTCCCTGTGAAGATATATTTGAGGATAAAACAGGAAACCATCTTGAACTAAAAAAAGTAAAACTGCCTTAAGTGTTTACATGCTACACAGTTCTTCCTTATAGAAGCAAATTATAATAAGATATTCCCCCAGTGGAAAATAAAACCCAAATATGATATATGCTAAACTTATATTTATGTCTTTGTCTATACAGTGAATGTTCTTCGCTGTTTTCGTTTACATAGAACATTGAAAAAGTACATATAAAACAGGAAAATATAATCCATAATAAGTGTAAATGTACATATAAGAAATTTACAGCAGTATATCAATATAGGAAAATTGAGCTGAAAATTTTCTGACAGACATTTTTCTTATCTACCCTCTCAGACCTATCCTAAAACTGCCAATCAAAATTTTTAGCAGAGGGGTCACTATTTTTAACAATACCGCCACATATCATTGTAAATAATTAAGCACAAACTATTATGGGATCACAATATTTATTGGATGAGTATAAAAATAAAAAATTCTTATTATGTGGCAAACTCTTATTACCACATAATATCTAGAGTCACTTTGCTCTACCTTTTTGTGTATTAGCTCATTAAATCCTTGCAATCATCATACTAGCTGGGTTCTATTATCTATACTTTACAGATATGAAATGGGCACTGAAAGAATAGATACCTTGCCCAAAGTTACATAGCACGAACTTCAATTTCCTCATTTGTAAGTAGAAATGATAACAAACATGCTAACAACAGTGCTTTGCCATTTATATTTTGCTATATAACCCTCAAAACACCCTTAAGGTCAGTAATGGTGTTAGTAGCATGTCTGTTTCATAAATGAATGAAATTACTTCAGAAGTATCACAACTAGAGCTCAAAGCCAGGTCTTCTGCCATGTCCTCATTTTCTTTCCACTCTGATTTCAAAAATTCTTTTCAATCCCAATATTCTATAATTCTATGAAATTTTGGAACTCTTTTAACATATAAATAGAGGTTATATAGCACTTATTTCTCTATCAAGTCCTCTTCTGAGTACATTACATATGTTTTAAAGCATTTAATCCTCACAATTCCATGGGTAGATACAATTACTATCCCTACTTTATAAATGAGGAAATAGATAAACGGGGAGGTACATCATTTGTTCAGCAAAGTATCTACAGAGCTAGAAAATAGTAGGGCTAGGATTCCAACCCAAGTAGTCTGACGCCAGAAACTGGGCTCTTAACAATTACATTATATGGCTTCACAGGAAAAAGTCAATCCTAAAAGCTTCTTTTTAAAAATAAATAAAAAGAAATAAACCATTTAAAATAGCAGTTCTGACTTGAAACACAATTTTGAAGGTGAGGTAAATAAATCAATCACATATTTATTGAATGTTTGCTTTGGACAGGCATTATATTAAGCATGGCTGAGAATATAAACAAATATAAGCTATAGCCCTGCTCTCAAAAGGAGTTTACAGTCTAGTTGGGGAAAATAGGTCTACATACACAAAATAAACCTTCAACAAAATTGGGACAATCAATGTTTATTGATTCAGATACAATATAAATATCAAATGTGTAATATGGATAATAAATGCTATAGAAAACTGCTATTACAAAAACTATAAAACCTAAAAAAAATAAACCATGAACAGGAACGTCCTATTGTAGCTTAACCCAAAATGAAAATAAGAGTGGATTCTTATGAAAACAGGATCCTTTACAGAGAGAATACAAAAAGTAGGATTTAATAATAGTTTACCCTAAACCTTATCAACCTTTTTTTTTTTTTTGAAATTATATTACTTTGTATTTTAGATCAATATTTGGAGCAACAGAGAAAGAATGAGAGGTGAAAAATGATATATTTTACAAGAACCTAAACCCTTTTAAACATCTGATTACTGAAGAGTTGTTTATTGAATTTAATGAAATACTTAGTTGCCAGATAACACAATATACTACAGTACTTCTTGAAAAGATCAACACTTTACGTCTGCTGTACTGATGATAATATAATGCATTTTGCAATGTCCAAATAAAAAAAATTTAAAAAAACCTGCAATCTTAGCCTATTCCTTCCCTTCTGGGTCAAGAATGTAGAAGTACTTGCCTCCTTTTCCAGTATCCGCCTCTTGATGGGGTTGACAGTATTTACATGATAAATACAAGGCCCATTAGAAACAAAAATTAAGGAGAAGTGCTAATTGCATCATCAAATATCATTAGTAAACGTTGTCCCTATTAGTCATTTTGATAGTCATGTTACTTGTGCTACAGGTTAATTATATTTGGATAATAATACAACAATGTACATAGAAAAAAAATTTAACCATACTGACAAAAAAACTTAAATGGCTCTCTTTTGGGCATGGAAATTTACTGTAAAAGGTAGAAGCTTATAGGAGAAACCTCTGTGTCAGGAGGCAAATAATCTGACAGTTTTTATTCCACGGGACTTTTTCTTCACATAAGAAACATTTAAGAAACACTTACCATTATGCTAGGTGCTAGCTATAAAAATGTGGGGTGGGGGAAAACATAGTCCTAGACATTTAGGTTCAAATTCAATTGAGAAAAACAAATACATAAAGAGATAATTACAATACACTGTGTTAAACATAACAATGGAGATTGGTCCATCCTATGGGAATGTGTCAGAATTTAGGAAAAAGCAATTAATTCTATGGAGAAATTAGGAAAGGCATAAATGAAGGATGAGTATGCATGGCATATTAAAGCTCGAGTAAGAAATGACCACATGGGAAAGAGAAAGGTAGGAAAAATAAAACCCTGGAATTACACCACTTTTCTACTATAAAGGAGAAAGTTTATTTCTAAGTGACCAAAATGGGTGATAATAAGAAAAATCTCTCATGAAGAACTGATTAATTCTGGCTAATCTGAACTAAAACAGCTTCTGCATTTGCAAAAATCTTAAGCCTATCTCTCAAGGATCTTCAGATTAGTCACAAATTTAGTGTGTTAGGAAATGGAAAGGATGCCACCACTGCCACCAGCACCCTTCCTTCACTTGTAAAAATGCTCCATAGGTAAAATTCACAAACGGACTGATAAAATAGAAACTTAACATTTAAAAGTACTGAATTTTTGCTAGAAATTATCTGCAACAAGTACATTCAATGCTATTCTTTATTGTGATGCAAGTCACAATTCCACCCTTATTGTAAGGACTCCTACGTTTGAACTGGTCAGAATCTCCATTTTTTGATAAATGATAGGACCAATTTCCTAACAAGGGGATGGAGAGAGAGGTCTCTCTGAAACAGAGGGCTGCATACTTAATCAAAATGGCTCACATTCTGCAAAAAAAAAAAAAAGAAGAAGAAGAAGAAAATGAAGGAGGAGGAGGAGGTGGTGGCCTGGAAAGGTCTTCTTTGGCAGTGAACCTAGGAGGAAATCAATACTGAAGAAAAAGACAAGACTGTAATTCCCTGAGGACAGCACTTCAACTCCACAACATGCAAATTCCCTACGTGCATCATGAAATCACTGGGCATCACTCCATCAAATTCATATTAATGAGTCCTGTGAAGGTCCTGAAACTCTGAGCATTAGTCCCTTGAGAAAATATAGATAGGCAGCTGGTGTCACATAGGATATTTATTAAACCCAATTCTAACTGACCAGATGGTATTACTGTTGCCAAAAACAGATGACCCAGTGCTGCATTAGAATAGAAATGTTTTTTTTTTCTTCTCTTTCCTTCCAACTGCCCCTAGGTTCCTATTTTTGAGAGTAATATAAACAAAGTAATATAAATATTACTCTCTATGGTGTTAGAAACTACTTAAGAAAAGTGGTCTAAGAAACACATGACAAGGTGAAAATCTACTACTAAAAAAAATGAAGAAAAATTCCCAGGAAACTCTATTTTAACTTTAAAGCTTTGCCAACTGCAAATGCCCTTCAGGAGTAATTTAGCTGAAGAATACAGATTGTTTGCTGAATTTCATCATTCTTAGTTTATTACAAGGCAAATCACAACTTCCTCTTAATTTGAGGGTAGTGTTGCATTCAGAACTGTCAGAAATTTATTTTAATAAGGATAAGGAAAGTCTCTTCTGAACTTATCCCACCTCTCTTTGTTACCAAACTCTCAGAATGATAGCAAGAAAGAAAGGCTACTTGTCTTAAAGAGAGATAATTCCTTGACCTCTTCCAAATCTATCCTCTTGAATATAATAAAAATTATCAGGTCTTTCATTTGAGCTTTGAATGTCATATTTTTAAAACATAAGGAAAAAATGCCATTTTAAAAGCAGTAAACAGTGTTTCTCATTCCCTAGATATCAGGGTTTGATTCGCCTTTAAAAGACTGGATCTTTGTTTTGGGATAACACAATTTAAGACATAATTTAGCTAGGAAAAAATGGGCAAAGAACCCATAATGGCACAGAAAGATGAGATATTGGGGTGCTTAAGTACTCCTCATAAAATGTCAAAGTCTATATACTGACTGCTGGTGATATGACAAAATCTAGAATGTGTTTCTTCTTTAGGATGTTTTTCCTTTCTGAGAGTCCTGAGAAGTTGAGCCTGAACTTCCCACAAGAAGTGATTGGACTTCTTCAAGGCATTCTAAACAAGAGGAGATAAACTATCTCTATGACATGGTAGAAAATCAGAAACTAAGACAACAAATGGCCAGTAGGAGTCTTCCTATGGAGAATCTTGGTATTTGAGTTTAGGAACCATTATATACAGCAGAGTAGCTAGTTTTAATTTACTTTTCTTCTTTGTTGTTCCAGTTACTATGACCACATAACACATTACCTCAAAACTTAGTGGCAAGAAACAACCATTTATTTTGTTCGTGGTTTTACAGATCAGGAATTCAAATAGAGCACAACAGAGATGACTTATCTATGCTGCTGTCTCAGGTATCAGACAGAGGACTCAAAGACAGGAAACTCAAAACTAATGGCTGGTGTGCTTACATGTCAGGCATTTGATGTCTGCTATTGGCTATCAGCCTCTCCTCTCTAAATGGGCTTCTCCATGAAGTCTCTCTACATGGTAGCTTCAAGTTCACTAGACTTCTTTCACAGCAATTCATGACTCCAAGGATACATGCCTTTGAGAGATAGAGATAAGGAGAGAGAAAGAGAGAAAGGCCATATTGTCCTCTATAACTTAATTTAAGAATTCACAAAGCATCACTTCTATGCCATTCTAATGTAATAGAAGTAATTCACAAAAAAGGACTCATAGTCAAAGGGAAGAAACATAATGGATCCCACCTCTAGATGAAAGAAGGTGTCAACATCACTATAGTAGACATACTCTAAGGTGGCCCCAAAGAGACATGTATATGTATAATTCCTCACCCCCTTGAATGCGACTCTAAAATATCACTCCTTTGATTAAATTATGTTATAGGGCAAAGGTGGTGTTACGTTGCTCCATAGAAAGTATTGCTTAAATATATTATGGACAGAATGTTTGTGTTTCCCCAAAATTATATACTGAAGACTTAACCCACAATGTGATGGTATTTGAAGACAGGCATTTGGGAAGTAATTAGGTATTAGAGTGGGGCCCTCGTGATGGGATTAGCAGCCTTATAAGAAGAACCACCAAGGAGCTACTCTCTCTCTCTCTCTCTCTCTGCCATGTGAGGATACAGCAAGAAAATGGCTGTCTGCAAGTCAGGAAGAAAGTCCTTATCAGACTTACCAGGCTGGCACCCTGATCTTAGACTTCCAGATTCCAGAATTGTGAGAAAAACAATTTCTGGTGTCTAAGCTAAGCTACCCAGCCTACGGTATTTTGTTATGGCAACTTGAGCAGACTAATACATTATGTTATATGGCAAAGGTGATGAAATATCACTCCCAGGATTATATTATGCTACCTACATAAGACTTCATATTAGCAGACTGGAAAGAGAGATTATCCTGTTGGTCTTGAGGAAGCAAGTTGATATGATGTAAACTGTCTAAGGATAGGTCCACACGACAAGTAACTGCAGGCAGCTTGTAGGAATTAAAGGCCTCGGTGCTATAGTTATAAGGTAGTTTGAAAACAACTAAGCAAACCTAAAAGTGTATCCTTTCCAGCCAAACTTCCACAAAAGAATGGAGCCCAGTCAACACCTTGATTGTATAGCCTGTTTTGACCTCAAGCAGAAACCCAGCTAAGCCATTCCTGGACATTTGATCAAGGGAAACTAAAATAATAATATTTAAACCACTAAATTTCTGGCAAATTATTACACAGGAAAAGAAAACCAAAACAATCACTTTGTAAGAAGAGCATGTGGGATGATATGGCCATTTGGGAGGATAGTGTGACATTTTAGAAAAATATAATCTCCCTCAATTTTTCATATAAAGCGGCTCTGTATAACTTGTGAGTGAGTTCCTTGAGGATTCCAGGAAATAACTGGGAGTAGGAATCTGGGAAAATGGCTGGACATCCGATTTCAAGTGAGTCTGAGCATCAGACTATTGTTATTTGGGCATTCAAGGGAAATGTGATCTAGAGTACAGCCAAATCTATGACTTATAGGTAATATATGTATAACATAACTAGAATAAACATTGAAATGGACTATTCTTTTCATAAATCATGAATATCTAATTTCTCAAATTATCTTTAGTTTAATCTTTTGTTTAAGACTTACTGACCACCCAAAATTTGAATCTCTTTTTAGTCCAGTATGTCTTTATATTCATCAACAAATATTTAATAGACACCTACTATGTGTTAAACTAAAATTACATAGACAAACCCAACCTCAAAGTAGAAATCAAATATGTTCATCAAACAAATTTTTTATGGATCCCATCACTTTACAAAGATAATTCTTACTGTCTTAAAATACTTAAAACACTGCCTTCAAATATTCTCTTTTGGAAAATATAATGATGATAATGATAATAAAAATATCTAATATTATTGACTATATATGTCATTGTGCTAAATTTATATTCATGATCTCTTTTAATCCTCAACTCTTTGACGTAGATACTACTATTATTCCAATTTACTGATGAGAAATCGACAATTAGAGAGACTACAAAAGTTGCCTAAGGTGACAAACTAAGTGACAGGAATAGGATTGGAATGACAGAGAATTAACAGAGATATGGCTAGAGTATGAAGAGTTCCTTTCATACACAAAATCATGCAGACTAAGAGAGTTTAAAAGTCATTTAATCTCTGCCCTTCTAAAGATTCTTTTGCAAGTAATTTATTGAGGAAATGCTCAACTCACCCAGTAGATGATGTTTCAGAAATCTAGTCTCAACCTGACCCCTGGGGCCTCTAGTGCAAGTATTACACCATGGAATTTATTTCACACAAAGGCTAGGGAACTGGGCTGTTACACTCCCACATCAGACAGTAACCAACTGTAAATTGGGGCCCAGCGGAGGAAGAAAGAGGGAAGGGCATAACCTCCTTGGCATCTCCAGGCAGGTGGCTTCCATCAGGTTAGAGAATTCCTCAGAAAAAGGATGTAGATATGTGATGTTAAAAGCCAACACCTCTAGTAGCCGGAAGATAAATACCTGTTAAAGGGAATCTGGACAGGGTTCCAATAGCATCTAATACATCTGCCATGTGTTTGGCCAATCCCTGCTTAGATACCTCCAGCAAGAAAAAGTCATCATTACAGTCCCTTTGCCATCTAACAAGGGAGCCCATTATAATCCTTGGACAACTTGAATAGATGAGTTTTCCTCTCATTGGATGTAGGGGAGTAAACGGAAGTGATTTTAGGACAACATATGCAGATAGCACAGAGTACAAAAAGAGCATGATGGTATTTATTGTTGCTGTAGCTAGTACTAAGATTTATTAGTACTAGCAGTTACAATTTAAGGTATAGAAGTGGAAAGAGGAAAAGATGAGTCTAGGAAGATGGTCATAGGCCAGATAAGCCAGATCATAAGAAATCTACATTCCTCATTGAGCACTTATGATGATGTTTTAAGATATCACTGAATGTATTTTAGCAGAAAAGAGAAACGATCATCTCTTGTAGAGAGCCCACTCTGGCAGAATGCAGAGAGCAACCCTAGCTCATTATATTACTGCTACGGGCTTTCATATCTGTTTCTTGTGGACTGTCAGTTCTTTAAGGACAGAAATCTTGCCTTACTTATCTTTATATTGTGAATGCCTACAAAAATACATTTTTATGGAACTGAAATGAAGTTGACTGATCATAAGAAAGAAAAGTCATTACAATAGCTCAGATGACAGATGTTAAAAGTCTAAATCAGTAGTCAGCAAACCATACATAGCACACAGGCTTAATCCTGCCCACCACCTCTTTTTGTAAATAAAGTTCTCTTGGAACACAGCAAGAACAATTTGTTTACAATTGTCTATGATTGTATCTGTGCTACAACAACAGAGTTGAGTAACTGAAACAGAGACCTATGGCCTACAAAACCTAAAATATTTAGTGTCTGGCCCTTTACAAAAAAGGTTGGCTGACCCCTAGACTAAACGGAAGCAAAGACATATAAAGGAATAGGTGGGATGGATGCAAATGATATTTAGGAGGCAAAATCATTTGGAGCAGCCACTACTCATTGCTCCTAGTTCTATTTCTTGATATCATGTATACATACATATAAAAAGCTTGCAAGTGTCCCAAAGTATCTTTTGACAATTCCTACTTATTCTGTCAAATTTAAATTAAACTATCATTTCCATAGAGATCCTTACACTCTGAAAAACACACTGGAGTCCACTCAACACACAGGCCTACAGATCCAAAGCAGAAGCAGTATCCCGTTTGGTCCACTTAAACTAAGCTTGTTTAAAGCAATGGGACAGTATCATCCCTGGGGCTTCTTATATAAATCTAAAAAGCTCCCAACCTTTACATTATTACAATGTTCTTGTTTTCACTGCAGGTCTTCAGAGATGGCCTAAATGTTTTTCACCTCATTAAGCTGCTCTGAGCAAGAGTCCTTTAAAAACTTTTCATCTGAAAAGTCTCCATAAGGCCTGAAATTTCTTTTTCCCTTCTCTGTGTGGTCAGAACATAAAAGATTGCAATTCAAAGAAAAAGTGAAGAACTGTCATGGTCCTTTTTGCTGGTGTTACTCTCTGAACAGTGAATTTAGGGTGACTTGTTTTTTTTTTTCAGTTCCTGGGTCTCAATTTACTGTTTGAATATACACTACAAAGTGTTGGTGAAATGTATTTATAGGACACAGTGGGCCTAGCCAGTTGCTGGGCCTTTTGTATCAGGATTTGAAAGATAATGGCAAGCTCCTTTCTTTACCAAAAAAAAAAAAAAAGTCATCTGTAGCCATAGAAACATCTAATCTTAGTCATAGCAACAGCATGCTCAGATTAGCAAAAAAAGACATTTTAGATTAAAAGTTACCTATAAAAATTTTATTTTTAAACATTAAACCTGGATAACAAACCAATGAGGAAAACTTTCCTACTTCCATGAAATAAATTTAAGGAAAATGAGATAATAAATAATTTATGGCTACTTTTATATTTGAAGATTATTTGCCTCAAATACTTAGTTGCTGTTGCCTGCCATCATTGGAGAGAAAGTAAAGTTTAGCCCCGCCATACAGCATACACCAAAATATTTTTTGAATTAATCAAAGATTTAAGTGTAAAGACAAACACAAAAATAAAGAACAACAAGAAAATGTAAGTAAATATCTTCCTGACTTTAGAGTGGAGAATTCTTTAAGAATAAGAGGAAAAGCAGAATCTGAAAGACAAAGTGACAGGTTTCAATACATAAAAACTTAAGATGTCTAGATATCTTAAAACAGAATATTCAAAATTTAAAAACAAGTAACCAACATGAAAAATGTTTTAATGGGTAAAACTAGAAGTTTCATCCTTTTTTCTGTAAGAAAAAAACATGAAAATGTAACATTTCAAAATGAGCATAAACTATGAGGATATTTATAAAAAGAAATAAAAATGAATAATATACATATAAAAAATTCCCAGCCTTGTATATAATCAAATAAATATAAACTAAAACAGCAATAAACTACTTTTTTGGCCTGTTTAAGAACAAAGATATATATATATTTTAAATAGTACACAGATATATTAGCTCAAATGTTTTTGGTT